TTTCGCTCATATATGACAAAAAAAATATTCTCTATATACGACCGATTTCAAAACATATAGAACAATATATGATATCGTTCAATAACTATAATGAATCTGTTTTCCCATATCGATAATATCGATATTTTATACGGCAAGTAGAAATAAAAAACAATATTTTCCTAGAAATCAATCATTTTGATGCAAATCTTTGAAAATCCTGCGATTTAATTCAAGAACCTGATAAGGGCCACGAACCCGAATGCAGACACGCGTAATGCATATATTGCATCCCCTATTGCTTAAAAGAAACCCGTAGCCATTGCGAGTTGTAATTTTTTTTCCGCAGAGATGCTTCACAAGCCTGGAGCTCCACCGTCATCAGTAGCTGAGTCGCAGAGCTCATGGTCTTGCCCACAGTAAGTGGACAAGACCAACGCACCCACGTCACGCCGCCCTTGACCTTAGCTATAACAGCTACGGCCAAGCATGAAAGGCATCGTGCGTGCATGTAACATGTACGTTAAACAACCAGTAAACGGAAATTGTACCTATGATATACACTTACAAGTCCCATTGAGCTATATCACATGACGACAGAACATCGAGTCATGAGGTTATTGGCAAAGTCTGCTCGATTTGTTTCCGCAGTTCACCTTCGTTCCACAAAGGCGTGGTTTTGATTCTTCACAGCGTTCAACTGGCCGCTGGTTGCTTTATCCAACATTATATATCCTAAACAAATTTCTCCCCTCTTTCCCTCCGTCATCAAAAAAGAGCCTCGGCTTGCTGCAACGTGATCTGACGCTTCGCAGGAGCGGCCCTGGGAGCTAAAGGTTGCGCAGGCCACCAAGCTCCGGCGCGCGGATCTCGCCTTGCGGGCCAAGTGCCATGCTCGCCATAGAAGATTTGCACACAGCGCAGGACACCTCGCAGACGCCCCCTACATCCGGACGCAGGATCGCGGCTGGCATCAAAAGACAGGAAGCACAACGCCAGTTCTGAGATGGTTTCTCGCTTCAAGCCCCAAATTAAAAGCAGTCAGTTTCCAGCAATTTTCGGCATGCAAGATTCCAATCGCTCTCCACCGGAGGCGTCAAGGAGCTTCAAACTGCACAGCTCACGGAAGTTGTACTCTGGCAAAAACGCACGGTCGTGGCCTCCTGCGTTTTGAGGATCCATCAAGTGTTTGAGTCGTCTGAGAAGTTGTACATGGGCGGCTCCGGCCTGTTCGGATCTGGCAAAGAATGCACAAAAAGGTATGCAGCCAAGTACTGCTATACCGTCTGGTTCATCTCTTTGCTGGAGTTGGCGAAGTTGCCCAAAAGAATGTTGTAATTTCCTGGATACAGCGCCATGAGAATGTAGTCTCGCAAAACTACGTCCGAAACGATGGAGCGCAGCGAAGGTCGCTCCATACAGAAGGCCGGAGTTTCAGCATCAATGAAAATGAGAAATACACAGCACAGAAAAGTATGACCTTGCATCTTGAACCATAAAAGGCTGCGCGCAAGGCAATGCAGCTGCGCGTCGCTGTCAAGACAGTCGTACGCAAGGCTTGTCAAGACGAGGCGCAACTGCTCTGAGGTTCGGGCGCAGCAGCTCCCACAAAAGACAGGACACTCTGACGCCGTCACTGCTGGACAGTCCGATTTGCTTGCAATGAATATCAGAAATACAAAAACATCCTACCAGCTTGCAGTGACACTGACATCAGGAGCAACATGACTTTGTATGATGAGCCATAAAAGCGGCGCGCGGTCAAGGCAGCCATCCGCAAGACTTTGCATAACACAGAGGCAACTGCTGTGGAGTCGCGGGACGCGCGCGTTCTGTGGAGTTTCCCTTTAACAGCACTGCGCGACGCATTCTGTGAAGTTTCCCCATAGCTTGGCTCTCGGGACGCGCGCGTTCTGTGCGTTCTGTGGAGTTTCGCTTTACCTTGGCGGATTCAGAACGCAGTCCGGACTTGTCGGGACGCGCGCGTTCTGTGGAGTTTCCCTTCAGCTTGGTGAATTCAAAACGCTCTCGAGACGCGCGCGTTCTGTGCGTTCTGTGGAGTTTCCGCTTAGTTTGGCGGGTTAAGATTCCCCTTAGCTTGGCGGATTCAGGACGCAGTCCGGACTTGTCGGGACGCGCGCGTTCTGTGGAGTTTCCCCTCAGCTGGCGGAGTCAGAACGCACTCGGGACACGCACGTTCTGTGCGTTCTGTGGAGTTTCTCATTAGCTTGGCGATTCAGAACGCAGTCCGGACTTGTCGGGACGCGCGCGTTCTGTGGAGTTTCGCCTTAGCTTGGCGGATTCAGAATGCTCTCGGGACCGCGCGTTCTGTGCGTATTCTCTGGGGTTTCCCCTTAGCTTGGTGGATTCAGAACGCTATCGGCACGCGCGTATTCTGTACGTTCTGTGTAGTTTCCCATTAGCTTGGCGGGTGGAGTTTCTCCTTAGCTTGGCGGATTCAGGACGCAGTCCGGACTTGTCGGGACGCGCGCGTTCTGGGGAGTTTCCCTGTAGCTTGGCGGATTCGGAACGCAGTCCGGACTTGTCGGGACGCGCGCGTCTTGTGGAGTTTCCTTTTAGCTTGGCGGATTCAGAACGCTGTCGGCACGCGCGAGTTCTGTGCGTTCTGTGGAATTTCCCTTTAGCATGGCGGGTGGAGTTTCCCTTTAGCTTGGCGGATTCAGGACGCAATCCGGACGCGCGCGTTCTGCGGAATTTCTTCTTGGCTTGAAGGATTCAGAACGCTCTCGGGACGCGCGCGTTCTGAGGAGTTTATCCCTTAGCTTGGGGGATTCACAACGCAGTCCGGACTTGTCGGGACGCGCGCGTTCTGTGCGTCTTGGCGGATTCAGAACGCAATCCGGACTTATCGAGACGCGCGCGTTCTATGGAGTTTCCCTTTGGCAGATTCAGAATATAATCCATACTTATCGGGACGCGCTTGGAGATTCCGTTCAGCTTGGCGGATTCAGAAAATATAGTTTCCCCTCAACTTGGCGGATTCAGAACGTTCGTGTTCTGTGGGGTTTCCCTTCAGCATGGTGGATTCAACGCCCTCGTGACGCGCGCGTTCTGTGGAATTTCCCTTTAGTTGGGCGGGTAGAATTTTTCTTACCTTGGCGGATTCAAGACGCAATCCAGACTTATCGAGACGCGCGTATTCTGTGGAGTTTCCCGTTAACAAGTTGGCAGATTCAGAACGCAATCCAGACTTGTCGGGATGCGCGCCTAGAATTTGCCGTTAGCTTGGCGGACTCAGAACGCTATCGAGATAGATACGTTCTATAGACTTTCTTCTTATAGAATACTACGTACTATGGAGTGTATAGAGTCTTCCCTTAATATAACGCATTCAGAACGTAATCCAAACACGTATTCTCTAAAGTTTCCCATTAACATCGTTTCGCCACTTATATCGCGTCTACGGCTGGACCTCAATCTTCTAAATAAGAAACCTCCTAAAGAGCATTCGGTAAAAAGAAAACTCCAAATATTTCTAAGATGATAGAAACAAAACATTTTCTACTAAATTTTCGTCATTTTTTATTATCATAGAAAGACCGCGACGACGCGAAGTGCTTACAATTAAAAGATGAATTAATAGAATATCTCGAAACTCTGTAGAAATCTCGAAACTCAGTTGAGCTTTTTTCTAGCTTTATTCATTTTCATAATCAAAATGATTAATAGAAAACGCTCATAGATCATTCAATATTTAATGAAAACGAATTCAAAACACAATAAATTATTGTCTAAGAAAATATTTTCCAAGGTTCTGAACTTCCGATGCCCCGCCGCGAAGGGAACCGGGCTGCTGAATTCGCGATTGTGAAAGCCGGCGCCGACCCTGAACCGGCCTTGTAAGCTGCTGTATGTTCCGAAACTCCATTCAGGTCAAGGGTCGATGCGGAGGCATCTACATTATCAGTGGCACAGCAGCTTCACTCAGCAATCTTGGTAGGCAGGCATGTCAGAATTTATGTTGCTGGAAGGATTGCCTTAGCCATCTTGAAACTGGCTGCTGCAAATCCATTGCAGGTGATGGGACTGCGGCAAAGCTTAGCCATCTTGAAACCGGCTGCTGCAAATCCGTTGCAGGTGATGGGACTACCTCAAAGCTGCTGACTCCGTCACTCCACTCATGCAACTGAGCTTGTCATTGGCTCGGCCACGACTATGCGCAGCAAACTCGAAACGCAACCGACTCGAACTCCTGGCAGCACGCAGCGACTAAATCTACACCTCGACGTGGGCTTGCGTGAGCACGAGGTTGCAGCTGGACTTGGCAATAGCTTCGCTCAGCACCCCTTGGACTGAACTTTGCACCATCCAGGCAACCACACCCATGTCAGGAAAGGTGAGAGAGAGAGAGAGAGAGAGACAGAAAGCGAGATAGCAAGGCGGGCAGAGGGAAGAGTCCGAGTCTCTTACTACTACAACAACTACTGCTACTACTACTACTGCTACTACTGACACCGCGACTACCAGTCCTACCACCACAACAACTACCTTTGCTGCGACTCGGGGTTCGTAATGGGAGATTGAGAAAGAGAGATAAAGAGAGAGAGTGTGTGGAGAGGATTGCTTGCGGAGTCACACCGCGCACGGCACCATGCGTGTTTGCAAGATGCCACTGCCAAAGTCAAAGGGCTCTGCACCACGACGCACAGGAAAGGTACAAGTACCAGCCAAGGTCCATGCAGAAACGCATCATGCCTGGCCTGAAGGCAGCCACCGTTCCAGGAGTCATGCAATGCCTGGCCGGTGATGTTCTGGCTGAAGCTTCCAAAGCGAAACGACTCTGACATGTGCAGGAGTCCTTGAATGAATAGCGCCAGCACATTGCTATCATTTGCGCGAGCAGACCCTGACTCCTTTCTCTGTCCATGCCCCAGACGCCAGACAGTGCTGAGCCTCGAAACCGAATTCCCACAAGTCCGGGCAGGCCCACCTGGGCGCTGCATGAAGGCTCCCCCCAAGGAGTGTCGCTGGATGACCTCCGGGCCAAGTGAAGGGCCAAGCTTGAGGCATCTGACGGTGGCTTCCTTCTGTCCCGATCCTGCGGAGCCATGCCGCTTTGCAGTGTCGGCGTGGCCTCGGAGCAATCCCAGCATCAACGCAGCCGCAACACCAACGGCGAGTGTGGTATCGTGAGAAGATCTCCGGGCTTTCCTCTTGTCGGAACCTCCCCTCCTGCCAAGCTCCTCACTGAACGCTGTGGCCGTGCAGGACCTGACGCGCTTGCGGAGACTTCAGGGCTCTGGGAATACGGCATCTAGTTGGCATCTGCCTCCTAAGCCACGAAAAGTTCGCTCAACTCCAAGGAATGCCTGCTGGAACCGCAGCGACCGGCTGCGCAGATCGTCCACGCGAGGCCCTTGGCAAAATGAAACGGTTTTAGCCTAGAACATGCTGACGCCTTTGTAGAAAGGCTTGGAGGCTTTCATGCAAATGCTTTCTTAAGGGCTTGGGAGCTGCCCAACCTCGATTACAGCTGCATCTGTTGTGACCTGGAAGGTAAGGCCGTGGCACCCTGGCTGGTGTGGCACAAACGGCATCTGGCAGTTTGTGTGGGAGAAGCAAGGGATTGGAGCGTCAAGCTCGAAAAAACACAACACTGCCAAGGTGATTCCAAAGTGTCTGGTTGTACAGGCTCCTCGATCAAAGGGCTGCAAGCTTTGCTTCGACTTGGCTGTCCTAACTCCGAAACGGGACCCGCAAGCTCAACACCCAAATCCTCTCGGCATCTCCAACCCAGACCAAACAAAACTTAGGCAAGTCCCGTAGCTGTCAACAATGCCGGCAGACAGTTTGGGCTGGTAGGCATGGCCACAGGAGAGGCGTTCCGTGCCTCATTGTCTTCACTCATAATTGGCCGTAGTGCAACGTACAAAAGGCTTCTTGCCAGCCCCCTTTAAAGAGGGCTGGCTTTCCATGCATGGGATCACTGTCATCGCTTCCAAGTGCTTAACAAGTCTCGACATGCCACTGGGCTCCAGCAGGTACATGTCGTCACCGCAGCCAACTGAAAGATCTTGCGACACTTATCTACAGTCCGAGGTGAGGTCGGCTGTCGGGTATCCTCCGACGGTGCCTGGACTGGAAAGGTCTGCCAGAGTTTGTTGTAGATGTGCAGAACGAGCTGCGTGATAGCCATCGTGGAAGCGGCAGCCCTACTGATTTGCTGCCGAACAAATACCTTCAGCCTTTGCGGCAGCCTATTTTCGCACTGGCTCAAGAGCATTGGGGTGCAGTTTTATGTCTCCATGGCCCAGGAGAAATAACGGAAGACACATCTGCTCAGCGTTTTCTGTGCTCTTCCAGGTGTGCACATCTCCCGGTTGCAGATTTAGCTCTAGGTGTGCTGCGTGTTGTCCATGGACATACGGATGACAAGCAAACAAGGCTAGGTGGAGGCGAAGGTGGAAGGGGAAGGGCAGAACTTCGGGTAGGGTCGCAGGAGGTCCGCATCCAAATGTCCAAACCCACACCAGGCCTTGAAACGTTCCGTAAACCTTGACACCAACAGCATCAGTGTGCAGTCAGCGCCTCTAGTGACGAGCACTCTGCCGGCCACCTGCAAGTGTGTTTTGCACGGGTGGCGGCGCTGCACAGTCCGAAGCGACGTAGGCGACTGGGCTCCCGGCTGTCCCTGTGGCCACTTGCACGTTTGGGTTCCCAACCACGACCTGCATTGGAGATTCTTTGTTCTGGATTTGCTTTAAGCGATAGTGATGCTTTCAGAATCTCAGGTGTGTGCGAAGTGTGGTGCTGCGGGCACAGGCTTCGTAAGTTCAGTGGTTCAATTGCTTGCATATCGAAGATCGCAGTGTGCCTGCCGCGTGCTGCAGGGCTGGTGGCCGCCGGAGAGCTGCAATGGAGAGCTTGGACGCTTGGACAGCGCACAACTGCGTTTAAGAGGGTAGGCGAGTAGAGCCTGCGGGGCTCTTAGAACAGGAAGGACAATACTGTAGGACAACGGCGGGTTACAAGTAGGTACAGCTTTGTTTCGAAACCTCACAGGCGACTCAGATGCCTCAACCATGCACAAATGCGATCCAATGCGCCCTGGTCGTGACATGGCCCCCGGCAAATAAGCCGTGTCGGATGCCGTGAAGGACCCACCCTGAACTTTCAACCAGCTTTCCCTTTGCGAAGTCTTCTCCACACTCGAGGTGCACTGTTGGGCCTGGGCCTGCACAGCACCTCCTTGCGGCACCTGCAGGGTGCTTCGGAGCGCGGTGGGGCTTTCTTTGGGCTTCCCTCGAAGATATCAGGTTTTGCAGTCCCGCGCGGCCCATCGTGGCCCGTTCAACATCCCTGCCCAAACGCCAATCCACGCGCGAAAAGGCTTAGACGCAGACTTTTGACGAATTAGGATCAAAGCTTTCGCAGAAGACCTGCTGTCCGGCCTGCCGCATGATCACCGACTGCCGCATGGGCTGCGAAGATGCTCGGACGTTCGCCTCGGAGATGACGATGCCCGCAGAGGCACGAGAAGACACGCGCCATGAAGCACGAAGATCGCCAAGGCAGGAGATTTCAGAGTGCAGGCTAGATCAAAATCTCTGAACGCGAAAAGCAACGCCGACACATCAAGGCCTGCACGCCGGCTTGTGAGTGCACGACTCCAGAGACTCGCGGGGCCTGAGACTTCTGAGATCTGACCGTCATCTGGGCCAAGTGGTCTCGCCCCAGGGAGGTCTAGTTTGCAGCGCTACGTTTGGGGCATCACGACGTGCACAAGGCGTTGCCCACAACATCAGGAGTCAAGACTCAGCACGAAGGCACAATTTTTCGCAAGGTGCACGTGGCTTCTGCAATGCATTGACAATGTGGGAAGACCAGCATTGAATGAATCGGTTTCAATTTTGATCTGTATCAGCTACTCTCACTTCTTCAGCTTCTGACCACCACGCAGCAGACCGGTGCGGCGGGCTGCGATCAAACCAACCTTCTGACCTGGCACGGACTCGCGGGAGACTGTGGTGGGGTGGCCCACGTGCTGGTGATTTCCTCCTCCGTGAGGATGCTCCACAGGGTTCATGGCAGAACCGCGCACCTTGGGCCAGCTGTTCCTCTTCACCCTGTACTTGTGGTAGTTGTTGCCTGCCTTCAAGACTGGCTTGTCCATGCGGCCACCGCCGGCGACAATCCCTACGATGGCACGGCAAGTGGACGGCAAGCTCTTGCGGCTGCCGGAGGGGAGGCGGATTCGGGTCTTCTTGCCATCGTCGGAGTGGCCCACAACCATGCAGGATGTGCCGGAGGCCCGGGCGAAACGGCCCCGATCCGCTGCCTTCTCCTCGCACATGGAGATCACGGTACCCTCAGGCATCTTGGACAAAGGCAGCACGTTGCCGATGGCCAACTGGGCTTTGGAGCCGCAGTACACAAACTGTCCAGTGTGGCTACCCTCCACGGCCACCCACAACTCCTTCTTCAGCTTGTAGCGGTAGGGGTCATGGAATGCCACCTCGCAAATCGGAGCACCACGTCCAGGGTCGTGCATGATCTTTTTGATAAGACCCTTGATGTAACCCTTGCGCTCGGCATAGTCCACGGCACGGAGCTTCACGGCACCCTTCCTGAGCCTGGTCTTCGCGGTGAAGATGAGGGACTTGCCCTTACGCGAGCCGCGGATGACGCGGCCCATGTTGGCCGGTCTTGATTCAAGCCGGCGTGCACCTCTACAACAGCCTTTCGAGGGGCTATCGACCTGCAAGCCCACAAGCGCAGTCCAAGACACGCATGATGACCCGATGCTTCTTCCTTGATCAATGCCACCCTGGCAGAATCTTGCATACACACATTGGCAGAACGGACCACATTCGCAGCAAGAGCCTGTACATGGCAGCCTGCTGAAACTACAAATGCTCTCTTCCCTCACTGATTGAAGCATGCATGGGACTCGCAGCTGATTTTCGAGCATGGTGCAGGCTTGTGCAAGGCATTGTCCGTGTCAGGTGTTCGGTGTAAGGGGGTACTTCCTCAGGAACGCAGTCTTCCTTCATGTGGCTCACTTCTTCAGCTTCTGACCACCACGCAGCAGACCGGTGCGGCGGGCTGCGATCAAACCAACCTTCTGACCTGGCACGGACTCGCGGGAGACTGTGGTGGGGTGGCCCACGTGCTGGTGATTTCCTCCTCCGTGAGGATGCTCCACAGGGTTCATGGCAGAACCGCGCACCTTGGGCCAGCTGTTCCTCTTCACCCTGTACTTGTGGTAGTTGTTGCCTGCCTTCAAGACTGGCTTGTCCATGCGGCCGCCGCCGGCGACAATCCCTACGATGGCACGGCAAGTGGACGGCAAGCTCTTGCGGCTGCCGGAGGGGAGGCGGATTCGAGTCTTCTTGCCATCGTCGGAGTGGCCGACAACCATGCAGGATGTGCCGGAGGCCCGGGCGAAACGGCCACGATCCGCTGCCTTCTCCTCGCACATGGAGATCACGGTACCCTCAGGCATCTTGGACAAAGGCAGCACGTTGCCGATGGCCAACTGGGCTTTGGAGCCGCAGTACACAAACTGTCCAGTGTGGCTACCCTCCACGGCCACCCACAACTCCTTCTTCAGCTTGTAGCGGTAGGGGTCATGGAATGCCACCTCGCAAATCGGAGCACCACGTCCAGGGTCGTGCATGATCTTTTTGATAAGACCCTTGATGTAACCCTTGCGCTCGGCATAGTCCACGGCACGGAGCTTCACGGCACCCTTCCTGAGCCTGGTCTTCGCGGTGAAGATGAGGGACTTGCCCTTGCGCGAGCCGCGGATGACGCGGCCCATGGCTCTAGATTAGCCTGCACTAATACCTCCGATCCTGAACGATTTGTGCACGGCCTTACCATGCGAATGGCAAGCAGGCACCAAAGTCGAAGCGCAAGGAAAGCTGAATATTTTTTCCTGTCCGCGGGCCGCTCGCGGCATTGGAGTTCGGAGTGTGTCCTTTGGACATCACTTCGCTACAGTGCAGGGCCCCGCGCAGTGACCGGTCACTTGTGCTTCAGGGGATTAGCCGCTTGGCCTACGTCAACTGTGAGCTGGTGAGCGCAAACCGTAGACAACTCCAACAGCTGCGAGGCTAACCACTTTGTGATATTTTGGCATACTATGCTCGTCCAGCCTCAAGGATGACACCGAATTTCAAACAGCTCCCGGAGGGTGACGGGTGCTACAGCGGGGCCCTACACTTGAAGCAGGACTGTAAGGCCCGCGCCCCAAAGGCAGCAGAGCTCATGATCGCTGAAGCTACAATTCCATCGGTTTGGAACCTGCTTAAGACCAGTAGCTGCTGGGGACTAAAAGCTGAGGATGACTGAGCCTCTGTGGTCTATAGCCAACCTTGACACCCCGACATGTCCTCAAAACCTGTCGGGCAGGAACAAGCCAGCTATACAGCTCAGGAAATGCTCCACGATAGAGCAACACGGAAGCTATGCCTGAGACGGCATTGATGTTTGGCACTGCTTTCGTTCCCTAACCATAAATAGGAAAACGTGCAAGAAACTGCTGCAGTCTTCAAGCCTCATCGGGCCTCTGGATAGGTGTCGCGCATAGGGCTTTTCGAACTCTACTCTTCGAAAGGTTGAACGCATCAAATGAGAGAGGGCAAGATTGTTGAGCTTGCCAGCTTGAAGGTTTTGAACAATGAAGGGTTTGGATAGCGAAAGTCTGATCTTTTGGAATGGGAATTCAGCTTCAGAGATTGACCACTCGGTGCATCGCAGGCTCGAGACCTACCTGGCATGCTGGGTTCAGAGCGTAATGATGCCAGACTAACCTGAACCCTCAACATCATCCTACTTGAAGTAAGGTTATATGAACATTAACTCCGATGACATGCCTTCTGAGGGGGCGAATCAGAAGATATGGGGTCCGACGTCATCGCCTGCTGAGGGGGCGGGGTTTCCTTGGTATGGAAGGCGTGGCATCAACACGCATCAACTGCCATCGCCAGTTACTCGCCAAGTGAGGTGGTGGGTTTGACACATGAAATCAAGCGCCATCGCCGACTTTGAGAGTGATTGACCGGTCCGCGGCTCAAGTTCGGCGATTCAGTTCGATTCAGCTAATCGAGCTCGAAAGTTTGCCAGCTCGCGAGTCAAGAGTTTGAATGCTTCGAAGTTTCATGGTCTGTCACTTGGACATACCAGTGTGACCAAACTTTCGAAAACACCTTTCACACCTTCAAGTTTGAAGAATTCAAGCTTCAAACCTTCGAGTTCGAACGGGACATCATTCTCGTGAGGTCCCCGTTGCCAACCCTCATTTCAAGCCGAGGCGCTTCAGGGGACCTGGTCGTATGTGGGCTTAACATCATGTATATGTCGTCAGCTGAAAGTGAGTGTGAGTGTGTGTGTGTGTGTGTGTGTGTGTCCGTGTGTGCTTGCGCAGACCTCGACCATTTCACATTTCGAGCTTCAGTCTCGTACTGCACCGACAAGGCTGCGTCGGACCCGAAAACGACGAGTCCCTGAGCCTCCCACTCAGGGAGGAAGAATGCCAAACTTCTCTTTCCTGGGCTGACAATGTGGGCTTGGGTCGAAGTCGCCCCGTTCCTTTGGGGCCTTTGTTGGGCCAAGCTTCTGCACCTCCACCTCGGCGATGTATTCGTTCATCGCCTGGGGCAATACTACGCCAAAGGCCGAAACAAACCTAAACATGAGCAAAGGGCAAGGTAACCTCTAACCTCTAGGTGCAAAGGCAAAGGGCACAGCAACTGTTGCATGCCAGCTTGAACCAACGCACTACCCCTGCCTTGAACGGGCAATCGCAGCGAAAGTGGATTGTGAGCTTCAGACCCCCTGAGTGCAGTCCGTGCGGCTGCTTCCTTCGACTTCCCCTTGTTCTTCTCCCAAGCCTCCGTGCAACATCAACGGTCGCCTTTGACATGCTCTGCTATGGGAAACGGCTTTTGCAAAGACACGACTTTGATCAAGCCAAGGGGCATCCCACTTCGCCTTCGTCTCCCACTGGACTGACCATGGAGCAGAGGCGGTGTTGTCGCCTTCCTTCGCCTCGCGCAGATGCACGCAGCAGGGCAGCAGGGGTCACTTCGACTTGGATCTTGGGCCTGCTTGAAGAGTCCGTAAAGCTTTAGCTTGTCCTCGGCAGCAGGCTGGAACAAATTCTTCGCTTCCTCTCATCAGACCGTTAACATACCAACGCTGTTCTGGTTTCCCGAACGCTGAAGCCCAAATCCCAGAAGCAAGTTCGACGCACAACCTCGAAGTCTTGACACGATGTTGGCGATGAAGCTGCCTGCTGTTCTTTCCTGGCAGAGACCCTGTTCACTTATTTTGCAAGGTGCGTCGTTCGTCGCTGAACCTTTCGTTGGCTTTCCTGGAGAGGCCAAGACAGCTTGAGCTGCCGAGTGTGGGGAGCGGTGGCTTGGGGGACAGGACACTCTGTGCAAGTCATCGGAAAAGTTTTCGAACGATCGGTCGTTGAGCTCGTGGGAAGCGTCCACCGGCCGGCCTTTCGAGATCAATTCCGAGGCTTCGTTGAACTTTGCCTCCAGGTCCTCTGCTCTTTTTAATTTTTGAGAAACGTTCTAGGCGTGGGGCTCAGCTCCAACTCTCGAACCCTTTGCATTCCTCCAGGCAGTCTCAAACACGGAACAATAAGAGGCTAGACTCACACCCGACACCCGCCCCCCGGGTCCGCCATGTTGCTGTCAAGGGATCTCTCAGGACGCTTGGGACTCGAACCAGAAGGACAGGCTTCGGCCGACGGACGACAGGCCGGATGGAACAGCTTGCAAGTTCGAAGAGTGCACCGACATGAAGACGATCTGACAGTCTGTCTTGTTTTGAGTGGCTTTGCGTGGTGGAGCAGTACGGGTCGCTAAACGGTCTTCCTTCATGTGGCTCACTTCTTCAGCTTCTGACCACCACGCAGCAGACCGGTGCGGCGGGCTGCGATCAAACCAACCTTCTGTCCTGGCACGGACTCGCGGGAGACTGTGGTGGGGTGGCCCACATGCTGGTGATTTCCTCCTCCGTGAGGATGCTCCACAGGGTTCATGGCAGAACCGCGCACCTTGGGCCAGCTGTTCCTCTTCACCCTGTACTTGTGGTAGTTGTTGCCTGCCTTCAAGACTGGCTTGTCCATGCGGCCGCCGCCGGCGACAATCCCTACGATGGCACGGCAAGTGGACGGCAAGCTCTTGCGGCTGCCGGAGGGTAGGCGGATTCGGGTCTTCTTGCCATCGTCGGAGTGGCCCACAACCATGCAGGATGTGCCGGAGGCCCGGGCGAAACGGCCACGATCCGCTGCCTTCTCCTCGCACATGGAGATCACGGTACCCTCAGGCATCTTGGACAAAGGCAGCACGTTGCCGATGGCCAACTGGGCTTTGGAGCCGCAGTACACAAACTGTCCAGTGTGGCTACCTTCCACGGCCACCCACAACTCCTTCTTCAGCTTGTAGCGGTAGGGGTCATGGAATGCCACCTCGCAAATCGGAGCACCACGTCCAGGGTCGTGCATGATCTTTTTGATAAGGCCCTTGATGTAACCCTTGCGCTCGGCATAGTCCACGGCACGGAGCTTCACGGCACCCTTCCTGAGCCTGGTCTTCGCGGTGAAGATGAGGGACTTGCCCTTACGCGAGCCGCGGATGACGCGGCCCATGGCTGCGACCCACCAACGCAGATGCTCCTGAGCCGTCTGCAGTGCAACCAAGAGTAGCCGGAGTTAGTCGCTGAGCGGGCAAGCCTGAAAGCAGCTCAAGGACTTTCGATGTCACCAGCAAGGTCCGGGCCCATAGACCGTTTATCAGTACATCCTAGACATGCGTGTACATATCCAAGTTGAAGTGAACTCCTGGGAGCGCCACAGATGAGGACCGTGGCTTCGGTGTCACCACGCTGTGGACTTGCGCCACAACTGGGCACAGTGGTCGACTCAAGCTTTTTCAAAAGTGCAAAGCTGGAACTGAAACCGTGACCAGGAGAGAGCGCGGAGTCGTCCCGAACCTGAGCCCTGATAGCCCTGACCCTGATAGCCCTGGCCTGGAGTAGCCCGAACTGGCTGGGCGACCACCGAGCTGACCTCCGCGTGAGGCATGTACGCGACAATGGCAGTTGTGGATCGTGTTTGGGCTTGCGAGCCTGACTGCAAGGCATGCCGGAGGGCGTCTGTGCTCGGCACGCCGCCCCCTGAAGTCCACAAAAACATTCCATATCTGGTGTTGATAGGAGAATCACGGGAAGTGATCAATGTAGTATCCAGTCGTGCTCTGATTGGAACCCTGTTGCCCGGGGGTTCCCCTGGTGCCATGGCACTTTGATTCACCCGCCAGCCTCGCGGCCGAGCAGGGTCGCCGGCACCGGCGGGGGCGACCTTCTTTGCAGTCTTTGCAGCCCTCCGCTTGCGAACCCTTGTCAACGGTGCTGGACTGGGTGCCCCCGGCCTCGGTGACTGCTGCATCGGAACTGCCGATGCCACCTCCAAGCGGCTCCAAGCCCAGCAATCTGAAGCCCTCAAACACGAAGCGCTCGCACCAGGGTCTCGGCTGGATAGTGGGTGCCCCGAGAGTGGATGCCTGGCAACCGTACGAGATTCTTGAATTTTTGGGGCCGAGTTTGGAATGTGATTATCGGGCGCTGCAAGAGAATCTAGAATCTAGACATTCGGCTTCAGAACTCCAAGTCCTTGACCCGTGCCCGTATTGAGGCTCGGGCTGGCTGGGTTGGCGGCCTGCCGTCGGAGCTCAGATGAGAAACTACTCCTGAAGATTCCGACGCCTTTCTGAATCCCAAACCTCCACCTGGAAAAGATGAGGGCCTTGTGCCCGACAGATTATTCAATGATTCAAACTAGGAGTGGAACCTACAGGATGCTCTCGGAGCATTTCGATCCTTTCAGTGCTGCATCCCAGGTACTCCAATCACTCGCGCTTCCTGTAGCTCGACGTAAAGCAAGGAGGGTAGCAAACATCACGAGCGCAAGACCGCACATCTCATCAACCTCGTATTTTGCTCCGCAGAAGGCACGTCGTAGTGACATTACAGCTCTGCTTGAGCGGCAGCCCGTCTTCTGACCCGAAGCCTTGTTGAAGACCCCGTTTTGAGATTTGACTCAAAGCGGCACAGCGAAGCCCCGCCCACCTCGCCACATCGCACGAAGCCTGCGTGGCCACGCTGTAGATCCATTTAGGAATGATGCTAGGGTAGAGATAGAACCACGCGCTACGCCGCCCAAAGCACAGGATGGGCAACGTGGGGCGCTGGTGCAGGTCTTGCCGGAAGGTGCCTGCTGTGCTTCCCACGGAGGGTGCTCGAGCAAGCGTTTGCACGTACCTGTTGTTGGACAGATCCAACAGCAGCAACAGCATGGGCAACGACCCGGTCTGCTCTGCGCGCGAATTCACATTCGACTGACTTAAGTGGTCGCACCGGGCAGCAATTGGAAGCCCAGCCGTGGCGCCTAATTTTGCACCTGAAATCCCCCCAAACTCTGGGGGCACTGCGTCGCAGACGTCCCTTTGGCGGGAAGAGACCGCCTGAGGCACCAGACAGGCTCTCGGGTACCCTTCGAAACCGTCAGTTGCAGACTCAGCGCAACATCTGAAAGCAAGATGATCCGAAAAATGGCACGAATCACCTGACCGTCCTGAGACCTGAAAGCATGAGGCTTCCAGCAGTCAGAAGCCTCATGGGCGGCTGGCCCGGCTGGACCATCAACGGCGCAGCTGGGCCTGCAGCGGGTGGCCACCTATGCCTTGTGCCTCAAAGGTTTCGGAGGTCGAGCCTCAAACGAGCGAAGCGACTTATCGAGGCCGGCGGTCGTTGTGGTTTGTGCACGTGGTCATCTCAGCTCTTCTTCTGCAAGTCTTCACATGACTCTGCTTCTTCCAGAGTGCCACCGATGCTTTCCAGGCTTTTGATCGTGAGCTACAATGACAATGCGTGGTAGACAACTCTTCCGGTGACAGGTCGCTGAGGAAGTTCCCATCAGTGAGCTGCATAGCTTCAGGTATAGGAAGTGCAAGAACAGCGGAGTAAGAGACAGCGAGGGTCAAGGTGCAAGGGCCCTGCCAGGTCATGGCAAGAAATGCTCACATGGCAAGCTGCGATCAGGTGTCGTGCTTTCAACTCTCTTGGCTGTTACCGCGCCTCGCAGGGCCTCGTCTGCCTGATCTTCTGCCTGCCGAAACTACTTCTGAAGGCAAGCTGAATACCTTGAGTGAGAAGTATCATCACGGTCAAACGTTTGTCGCACCTTCGGTTTTCGTTCAGTAGGTTGCCATCGAAACTCTTTAAGAACATCAAACACAAGTTACGACTGACAGCGTCTATCCTGATCAACTCCCAGCATGGCCTCCCATGAGTCAAGGCCCGAGTATACGTTCACAGTAAGCGAGACCAATTCAAGCTCCCTAAATCGCTAGATCCTTTGACAGCGCTTGCGCTGGCTTGCGCGCCAGCCTTCTCTCCGACTCGCAACGGCTGCACCTCGGACAGAACATGGTTGCCCTTTGCAAGGATTTGGACCATAGCCGTTGCATTCTTCGGTGTCGAGTAGCAGGCATTACACAGTCGTATTGTGATGGCTGCGACACCTGTGTTCAAGAACTCCCTAGGCCTACTTTTAGAACCGAATGGTCAATGAATGAATTGAGGGCAGTAGATCTTATCACTCAAACGCTACATCGCCGGAATCACTTGCTCGCGGTCTGCATTGCAGACGAAACCTTCTGCCTACTGCTCTGCAATCAGATCGGGCTACACAAGGACCGACTACTCGGCACATGCATCGTAAACTTGCAAGAAGCAACGTTAATTCCTCCGACCTCTCTTCTTAACTGCTGTGGTCTGGAATCCCTGCCCTAACCGCCGACCCCAAGCCCTAGACCAACAAGCTTGGGTTGACTGTCAAAGCCTGGAGTATGCCTTGCTTTGAATCCCAAATACATGGGCTTTTGCAGGCTTCTTGCAGACGTCTGCGGGGTTAGGGCTCCAGGGTTGTATATTTTCTGGCTATGATCGAGGCCGATTTGGTAAGGACTCGGCGGAAACGGAACGCGGTGCGCTGCCAGCCTGCCTTTGCAGCAGACAGTGGGAAGTTGCGGTGCATTGCAACCCACCTAGGAAACGCCTGGATGGCTCAAGTCCTCGTGAAGCATATGCACAGCCTGGGAATGCTACAATGTCCTGGAATCAGAAACGGTCAAGAAGTGAAAGTTACTCAGTTGCATTTACTTCAGGGTGTGGGCTTTCCGCAAGATGCTGTCTGCCAGAAGCTGCTCACCGAAGGCCCACGATTTTCTGCACCTCCCCCTTCCGGTACATGCTAGCAGCTAAGCTAAGACCCCCCGCAGACACAGTGTAGTTCTCATCACTGTGACTGCTCCCATAATGCCGCATGCCTCACATGCCTCACATGCCACGCTGAGACGAGGGCCTCACTCCAGTCGCTGACGCTTTGCGGCTTTAGCAAAGGAAGGGACGTAGCGCACCCTACGGCAAGCCTCCCAAATCCGCATTCGCTCCCACCACTGGCGCTCGAGCTCCTTGTCTGCATTGGATTTGAGACTCGGCTCCCGGTTCACCTTGTCTCCCAAAATGAGCACCAGGATTTCCTTGAGACGGACTTGGACTTCGGCAGAAAAATCGACCTTGTTGGCTGCCGCAGCCTCTTCCAACTGGTTCCATTCGGCCTCGGATGGCAGCACAGCCTCCGATTCCCGGAAGGCGCGCTGCAGGTCCACGGGCTTTCCGAAGGTCCAAGCTGTCAAAATGTGACCCAGCACCGTGTTCGTCTGAATTGGAGGTCCTGAAGCCGGTCGCATGGCGATGCTCTGCAGAGACTCCTTTTGTGAAAAGCGATCGTAGGAAATCTCCTTTCTAGGTTTGTACACCGCCAAGGGCCACTTCGTGGGCGGCGTCACGCTGCCCGCTGGCAGCTCCATCCGGGCCGAGTCCGAAGAGGAGTCATCCCGTGCTCGCACTCGCTCCTCTGCCTCGGAAACCTTCTCGCTGGAGCTTAGGCTGAGGCTTCCCTTCATCTCCTCCTTGGCCTTTTGGATAATCTTGGCCAGCTCTTCCGCACCTGAAATGCGCACGCCAACGCTCTTGATGGCCTCCAGGGTCGTGGGTTGGACATAAGTCAAGGCGATGCACGAGTACTCAGAGAGCACAGCGGCAGGCGCCAAGCGCAATCGCACGGCGGCCTCTGCGCGCCAGCGCAAGATCTCTTTCCTAAGCGCCTCGTGACGGTCGGCTTTCGCCAAGAGCTCTTCTTTGCCGCTCTCTTTCCAGTGCTTCAGCTTGCGAATGTACCACAGGACTGGGCCATCATCCGTCATCTGGTCGGCGGACAGAGTTCGCACATCCAAGCCGAAACTGGAAACTTCTCGCTCCCTAGCACTGCGCTGCTGTTCCTCATCTGCCTCCTGCTGGCGGATTGTGGCTGTGATGGGCAAATCCACAGGTGCGTTGCTTTGCAATGCTGCTTGACCAGCTTCTGTGAGCTTGTAAACCTCCCATGTCTTGCAGAATGCTTTGTCATTTCCAGTCTTGACGACTGTCCGCTGTAGGTATCCAGCACCGCAAAGCGACACGATGAGCTCCCGAACGACAAGTTCCCTTTTCATCAACGCAGGCAAAGCCTGCCGGAGTTGTTGTATCAGCGTCTGCGCGGCAGCCACATTTCCCGCGATGCTGCTGAATTCCTTTGGCTTCCAGGTCCCAGCGATGATCTGCAGGAGAGAAGTCAAGGCCTCATGGTCACGACCCCTTCAAAGTGTCACACTGTGTGTATTCTTTACGAGACTGAGGTCCGAGCTTGCGGAAAGCACTGGGTCGCTGCCACAGCATGCAGGATCGGGGCCGCCGCGGCTCGGAAGTCGCGCACGTCCTTGCCATTGTTGGCCACGCTGTTGTCACAAAGGCCGCATTGACCTGGGGATCTTAAAGGGATGTCTGAAGTCTATGACGGTTCGATATTTGCAGCGACACAATGGCAAACAACAAACGGCAGAGCTGCTGAGCTGGGACGAAGGGACGGTAGGAGGGCGTCTCACCGAAGTACTCCAAAAGCCAACGCCATCGGCAGCTGCTGCAGCTTGCGAAGTTGCGCAGCGCTTCCGTGGAAGCGGTCACGTGCTTGATGTTCTCCTCGCTCAAATTCTTCGTGTAGAAATCGGAAGAATATTGGCGGAAGTCGGTGTCTGAAGAAATCAGCTCGCACACTGAGTCGAGTCCATCTCGGCCCGCGCGGCCAATTTGCTGAAAGTATTCCTCCACAGTCTTCGGAGGCCCGTAGTGAATGATACGCCTCACGTCCGGCTTGTCGATCCCCATGCCAAAAGCAACCGTCGCCACAACGACCTGCACCTGTCCATTTAGGAAGGCCACATGCGCATCTTCACGCGCACCCATGGACAAGCCACCGTGGTAGCACGCGACCTTCAAGCTGGGAGCCAGCTTCTCGCTCAGGAAGCCAGCGACGCTCTCCGCATCACTTTGCGTCATGACGTACCTCGGGTCTCCAAGCACACTACCTCACCTACCAGTACGCTGAACATCCCACACTTTGCTGTCTTCGGGACCGATTGCAACTTCTGACTGCAGTAGAAGCACAGTATTGGGTCCGGATATCTTCATAAAGCACCTATTTACGTTTCAGGGCTTGACTTGGTTTGATGCTTTGGGCATTTTGACTGTCGCGTTGGCACTTATCTCAATGGCTTGCAGGATTGGGATTAAACCGCACGGCTTCCTTCGTGGTTCCAAAACTTGACGGCATGGTTTGCAGGTGGCAGTACAGCTAGAGGCGCCTAGCTGGAAGCTGAGCAGACCTGAGCAGGGATCCCCAACTCTTCGGAATCTTCCCCCCAAAGTCCCAAAGCATGCCGAGACTTTGACCTAGACTCCGCCCCGGGAGCTAATTCGGCTGCCAAGTAGCACAATGGTGCTGCCTCCGTTAGCTATGTCTTTGGCGATGCGGACAAGGTCCGCGGCCTTGGAGGTCTTCCTCGCGCACCGCAGGTGGAGGTTCGGTCGGTGAAAAGAGCTGCGAGCCACAAGTGGATCGCGAAGCTGCAGCTGCTGCAGTATGTCAGTTTGCACGCGAGCGGAGGCTGTAGCCGTGAGGGTCATCAAAGGTATGCTGGGGACCGTCTCGCGGATGGCCTGGAGGCTGCGGTAGGAGGGGCGAAAATCGTGTCCCCACTCGGAGATGCAGTGGGCCTCGCGGAACAAAAGAACGACAAGGTCAAGGACACTCACTCGGTATGTGGCCCCCTGCGGACCTCATCGATGGCCACCAGGAGCAGCGACTGCATTGATGGAAGCTTCCTCACAACTTGGGGGTAGGGGCTGACTTTACAAGCCGAGGCTTAGAAGAGGCTCAGCAGGTCCTCAGGAAGTCCCCTGTGAGCTTCTCCGGTGTCAGGTAGACTAAGGAGAAGCACCCCGCAAAGGCCTTTGCCTCGACGCTTGGATCCGTCTGTGCGGATCCCAAGAAGCAGGCCTGGAAACTACCCGAAGCGCCCACAGTCCTGGGCTCGCGCTGGGGCTGGCGGCTGCTGCTTTAAAGTTCTAGTTGCTTAGGGCGGCTTCCGGTCGGAGCAACTGAGGCCTGGTCGCGTTGAAGCGGTGGACTTGATCTTGCATCAGGGAGATGAGGGGAGAGACAACCAGGACCGTCTTGCCGGTCTGCACTGCTGGCAGCTGGTAGCACAAGGATTTCCCTGCACCTGTGGTCCAGAACACAGCCGCATCCCGACGTTCAAGCGCTGCCAGAGCGACTTCACGCTGTCCCGATCGGAAGCTCTCGTAACCGAAGTGTTCCTTGAGCGCACCATCCAAAGCTGCAGCCTCCATGCTGAGCTGCCGGCCTTGTGGAAGCTCGTCGCTGCAGCTTGAGCCAGCAAGCCAGCAGCTCTCCCGCAAGGTAAGGTGTTCTGTAACCTTGAAGCCCTGAGCCCGATTCACCGAGTCGAGAGCGTTTAGACTCTCACACCCCCGTGAGCTCATGTAATTCTTTATCGATGCTAGCAGCCCGAGCCTTTTCCACAACTCCTGCGTGGCATAGGCTGCGGCATGCTGCAGCTCCTGTTCGAAAAACACCATCCGGGGTCGGGAAGAGCATGGAAATTGATCTCAGATAAGGGCAAGGTATCAACAGATTCTCTTCACGAAGACCGTAATGAACAACACCTCCAGGAAGGCAAGACACAACCTGCCTCAAGCTACAACTGCCAACCCTCCTCAAGCATGGCAAAAGCTCAGAACAGGTCAGGTCTGCAGTACTCCAAACAGGCCCAGATCCTGGGGTTGACTCTGCGGATGATGGACCACTGACGGACGCTTCACCTGTAGCAGTGGCGATCGGCCGAAGCTCGCACACAAGCCCTCCCCACCCGGCCCTGGACTGAATCTGTCCATCCCACCTCGCCGTGCCAGGAGCCTGACCTGTCAGGCTGTTTGGACTGAAAAGCCCAGTTGCAGACACAGCAAATCTCAACTTAGTCGTTGAAATTCGAAGAAGAGCAGCTCGGTGGAGGCGTGTTGGCTATGCACATGACAACCGACTTCGCCGCTCCCAAAACCTGACTCTTGAGCACTGATAAAGTCTGCTATAGCGTCGCTGGGAGATTAGGCTTCCGTGTCGGAGGTGGCAGAAAGCCTGCCTGACGCCGTCTGGTGAGTTGCCATGAACCTAGCCGACAAAGACGAAGTCAGTTCGAAAATCCCATGCTTCGAGCATCAAGACGCCTCTTACTTTGGCATGACTTCGTCGCGGAGCTGTGTAGCATGAGTTAACAGTTCACCCAGTTCCTTATCTTGCTTGGTCGGGGTGAGGCCAGCAGTTTGCAGCACGGACTCAGCGGTCAAGGCAAAAGACGACGCGAGACTCTGGAACGTCGTGCAAGTTGCGAAGCCCTTGCCTTTCGGATCTCCGGTTGCTTCACGACACCATCTGTTGGCTTCTCCGTGGCCTCCTCAGGGCAGCTTTGGCAAACATGCGGCTCTGGCAAAACCAGGAAAAGGCTGCGATGTCAAAACTCATCTTCGTGCTCCCTCGCCCGCACCTCCTTGGCGTTCAGAGCCTTCGGAGCCTTATCCTCCAGGCAGTCGACTTGCAGGGTAGCCGCGTACCTCTTCGGATTTGGAGTGGGCGCACATCAGAGATTCTTGGAGGGTTTGGCTTCGGAGCATATATAGATAATGGCCATGCCTTCGCATCTCATTTTCCAGGCTTGGAGTCTTCCAAGCTCCAATCCAACAGCTTCAGCCCACTCTCGACCTCCCTGTCCAGAGAATCGTCATGGCCTGACTCTTACGGCCTTACGCCTAGCCCGACCACGCCTTGCGGGTCGCACCCTTCCTACACCCTCTAGCCATTATATTCTTCACATTCTTTCGAAGTGCGTGGGCACTCTGACTGGATGACGCAGTGGGAAATCTCCTGGTGTACCTGACGCGCACAATTCGGCAACGGGGGCCCGATTCGTTTCACCGCAGGCCGGATGTTTGATGCCTGCTCCGCCAGCAACTTCTCACAGAAGGAGCAGAAGAGGTCCGGCTTTACCAGCACATTGAACCTCAACAGATTCGTGGGTGTTGGTCTGTAGGTTTGCATTCTCCCGGTATGCTGCTAGATATTCTAGACCATGACTAGCAAGTGGCTCCTCTAAGGGTTCAAATCCCCCAAGCAGACTTGCCGGAATCTGCACGCCCCAGGCTTCGGACACATTGCGAAGGAGATGCACGCCCGCTTAATACCCGAAGCTCGGAACACACTGCAGAAGGAAGCGCGCACACACACAGAGATGCGCACAAGGACGCTTCAGAAGACACCGAGCTCGCAACTTGATCTCCTCTAAGAACTCGCTCTCCATGCGGTTGAGCTCCCCATTGCTGAGGACCTCTACGGTCATGTGCATAACAAGGCCAAAACTTGAATACCCAAACGACGCTCGAAGCCTCCCCGGTCTCTGAGTTCCCAGCCGGAAAGAGCTTCGCCAGGGAGCTATTGCGAACTGGCTTGTCCTGCCATCCGAGGCTTCTGCGTCGCTGAAGATCGTGCTACCACGTCCACACTCTTGACACAGTCCTCCCACATCTTGTCGGCCAGTAGCAGCGACCTTAGCTAGCTCGGGTCGGTTCGCGCTTGGATCTTTAGTTTTATCACTGGCAGAGGTGCTTCTTGCGTGGATCCCAGAAGACGAAACATGCACATAAGTCTTCGCCCTGTGCGAACACACCTCGAAGCAAGAGTCTATCAAGACAATATCACTTAGCGATGCCGGATCACGACCCATCCAACGTTTGTGTTCCAAGTGCCAGGTTCAACATCAGAGGATTGTTGGTGTCATTCCTAGTAGTCCGCTGAAAACGACAAGGGCTTAAGCGTCTTGTTCCCCTGAGAGGTCGTATTGGATTTCAATCCTTCGAGTCTTGCCTCATTGCTGCAGTCTAGCCAAGCCACGTCAGGAACAACGGCCGCCAAGTGCAGGCATGGAGAGTGATTCTGGAGCTCTCCTTGAACCTGCCGGAAACGTTAGGAATAGTCGCCGGTGACAAAGCGCACGTTTGTGAGCGGACAAGCTGAGTACGCAAAATGTGTACGATGGATGCTGCACCGAAACAACCCCGCGCAGGAAGTCTGCCTGCTGAGGTAGATGACACTGACGATGAACGCAGAGACGCTGAAGATGCCCTGATGGTCTGGGAATGGGTCAATGTGGGTCACATCACATCGCATCTGTGCTCATCTGCCTGGCCTGGTGCAGGATGCTCAGGATGAAAGAGCAGACGTGCAAGGCCGAGCAATCGTGGACCTGAAGCGAAGGGCGGAGGAAGTGGAAGAATTACATTCGGCAACAGTGCAGTCCAAGCGCCGACTCCGGAAAGATCCGGTTCAGGTCGGGCTTGTTGTTGTGGTATGGAACCTGCCGACGAACACTTCGCGGCCGGTGCATAGAGTGCCCCTTCCGCATCGGAGGCCTCGAAGAAGAGCCGGAACATCTGGTTGCCCTGTAGAGCACAAGCAAACAACGCGTAACGCGTCTGTGGGCTCTTCTTTTGGGGCAGTCGCCGGGGGACACTGACTCTAACTCTAAGTATACTTGGAAGTCAGAGACGATGTCCGTCTGGCAGGGATCCACATGGAAGTCCAGGCGACTTCTCTGCCGTAAACAGAGTCAGAGGCCTCCATTCGTTGCAAAACGTCCGCATCGGAACGGATGTGGCCTTAGACAACGGAGCTTTTGTTGGGACCGCCAGAACCGGTTGAACGCACCGTGGCTTCATGGAAGGGCCGAACCGAACACACCCACTCTACAAAAGCCACCTCATGTACAGTACGGCTCGAGATCCATCAACATGGTGGCAGCAAGTTCTGAGGCCCCTGCGGTGGAAGAAGTGGATTGCCGCACAAAGCAGCTGAGTCTGGCTCGCAATGCAATGGGCTCGCGAAGTCACGTGCACGTTGAAAGTTCTGAGCGAGCTGATGCCAGAGCCTTGAGGACCTTGAGACTGTATTGTTCCACTTGATACAGTCTTGATGCGCTAAGCCGCTAAGACAGTGTTGTCAGGACTCACCGAGACTGTTCTTCCTCTACGCTAGACCTCCAACCCGATTCAGCCCCAAGCTCCAGCAAAGGGGCGTTTCAAGAGTGCCTGCAGGGCGCTGAAGCGCTGCGCAGTGGTCTCTTCTGCCTTGGCCAGAGACTGGCCGGAGCCTGAGGGAGGCAGCGACGAGATGGATATTTTCGTCGGAAAAGACCTCTGAACACAAGGCGAGGGGAATGCAACAAACACAAAGAATGTAAAACAAGAAGGAATCGCACGCCCTGAGGCTAGACTTTTTACTCCATTACTCCACTACCAAAACTCCAAATGCCCCATCAACGAAGACTGTCAATACGATCTTGTGAGTCTGACACCCGGAACCCAACGCGAAACCTGAGAAGCCCCAAGCTGCCTTGGTCGGCGTCGTCGGTCATTGGCGCCTGCCAGACGAGCAGACGCCAGCATTGTCGGTCTCAGCGATATACGAGTTTCAGACTTCGACTCCTGCGTCTCTCGCTTCTCTTGCTGTCACTATGGAATTCGCCTCAAAGCCCCTCGAAGAATACTCCGAAAGCCGAGGCTGGCGACGCTTTGCTCAGAAGGCTCAGGCCCTCGATTCCTGAAGGGCCCCCATTCGGCAGAGGTAGGTTACCAGGTTACGCCACGCGCCTCTTAGCAGAGGGGTGGCCCCGGCATGGCGCTGCGGCTGACTGCCATTTGGTTCCTGGGCCTGTCAGTTACCTAGCGGTTTCGGTGACTGGGTTTATTGCTGGCGACAGATGACGTGAGATTGGGTCTTTGCTGCAGAGTCTGGTCACATCTAGTCAATCTAGTCGGCTAGCAGGCTTGCAAGCATGCGGGTAGACGGGTAGACTAACTACCTGGTGCATGTGGCGGCTTGGGCGTCCGAAATGTCGGTGGAGTTGTGGGCCTTTGTCGTGGCTCGAGCCAGGCGACAGCAACTGGTACCAGCGAATGGGTAGAACCAGTGGAGCGAGCTACACATGACGTCTATGACATTTCCATCGCATCCCAGAAGCCCAGCGATAGGATCGGGGTTGCGGAAGTCTTCGTCCTCTTCCTTGCGGAAGCCAATTATTTTTTTGTGAGTTTGCATGATGCTGCAAGGTGATTACCAAGCCCGTCGAGATGCCGTGATGCACCAATACTTGCGCAGCTCATATGGACGTACGTACAACAGTAGGTCCAAGGAGTCTAGTACCGGCATACATCGATTTCCTGCCTTGCTTCATGCTGCCCACCAACTGAACCTTGCTGTGTGCTGAAACTTCCAGACTGTTGTCATGTCATCACGACTGTGCTTCTGATTTTGATGCAGATGACAATCGAGCTGGAAACCAGCCTCACGGAGCCCCAGACTCGACCTAAAATTGAACACGGTCACCCCGACTTGTCCTGATGCGGCTCAGCCGGGGTACTCGGCAAGACTTGTACCCAGATGGAGAAGCACAACCCCGGCACTCCTTCCCAAAGAAGGGTGATGCGTGTAGCTGTAGCATCCAATATCCCAGTACGAGAGAAAGCTACTAGTAAAGACTCGAACGATTCTAACATTGCTTCTAAAAAAGTGATGCTGATGGAACCCAGATCTCGAACTCCTCCACCGTAAACTTCCAGACACTGGATAGTATCGCAAGAGGGCTGGAAGGCCTGAACACCCTCCAGGAGCCGGGAAATGCGATGTCAAATGGCTACTTGTGCGAACCCAAGACTTGCACTGCAGGCTGAAAGCTGCTAGCGCACTCCAAACCTAAACCCCATTCTGAAAGGTCCAGTAGCTGATCGTCGAGACTGGTACTGCCCCTCTAGCCTGCAGATTGTACCTGCAAAATTATCTATGACAACAACTTCTGAGCAACACCAGGCCCGAGAGATCTCCGTGGCAACTCCACTCGCTGCACCCGAAACAAGCCACGACCTTCCCCGCACGAAGGTTTTTCCACAGCAAGGGCACGAAAGTCACCCTCAGCTCAGCATTCGCACCTGTGAAAGCGCGGAGAGGCTTTCCTTCCCAAGCGGCTAGCTATTCTTGTGGCAATCATACAGGCCAGAAGCAACACCCAAGTGGCCAGTGAACTTGCAAAAACTTGATCTCTCCCCCCGATACCCTAGCTGGGGTCAGTGCCGAAGAACTGGAGGAAGAGGAGCTGTGGTGGCTCTCCTGCTGAGAGCTTCCCCCAAGGCCTGCCTCTACTGTGAGAATTCTGAACTTCACGAAGCATCACTTCAAGGATTCGAAGCCAACCAAGCCGGGCCCCCACCTTGAAGAAGCACGAAGCTACGCAAAACTAGAGCTCAAGGGACCTCGCTCCAGCTCAGGCGGAGCTTCTTTCTGGTGCCACCCTGAGGCGTGTAGACTTTGGGCAAGTGTGAAAGGGCAGTTGCATCCGACGCAGCCAAGCGTTTGCACCCGCAAAAGGGCCTCTGCGGCGCTTGGCTCAGCGACTGGGCCCGCGCGGCCCTTGAGCTCCTGCTGCACCTGCCACCTCGAGAAAATATGTGGAAAGCTGCAGCGAAACTTGATCCAGCATTTTCCAGAGAATTCAAAGCCTCGCCCAGGCAGTAGCCTCTGAACTGCATCAGATCAAACATCATGCATCCAATGGCATACAGTTCTAGATAGAATGTCAAGCGAGGAACCCAGTGCTATGAGTGGACTTACTCATTTTATCACATGGGCAGCGCGCCTCGTTCTACTGCGTGGTTCAGGCGAACACGACTAAGCACACAACAAAGAAGGTGGCGACATCGTTGTTGTGTTGTTGCTGCTACTGAGGGATTCTGATCGCTGTGCCGACGGCCATCGCGTTTGAAAGGCCTTCATTGTCGTATTCGCAATTCTTAATGTTGCCATCTACCTGATGATCTGGATGATGATGATGATGACCAGGATGATCTCATGATAGTCTTCTTGTTCCTTATCGCCACTTGTAGTACATCGTAGCCTGTGCGGTACCATTTAGATTCGCTTGACCATGGGAATGCGGCATGCAGCTTTTCTTCTTCTGTATTGCGATGTGAACTGTTTCGCAGTCAGAACTCACCAGAGCTCATAATGTGAACCAGAATCAGAGACCCTCGTCTGGTCCAGTCTGCACGTGGTGCCGACCGTCTCTGGAACCTTACTTGCTATCTTCGAGTGCCCGTGCCGAGTCCCAATCCCCGATCGAGAATCGGCCTGACTCTGTCGATGGCTTCGATGACCGTCGGATCTGACCCCTGCGCACAGGACTTCAGCACGTGATTCTTCCAATGCTGAGTTGGAGTGACAAGCAAAACGAAAACCTCGCGAAAGGCTGCACCTCCAGCTCCTTCAGGGCTTGGACCCGCGAGAGCCACACTGAACCATTCGGAGGCCTGTGTTTTTGCATGTGGGAGAAGCGAGATGCCGTTGGAGCAACGGGCAGAAGGGCTGGGGTACATGGAATCCAAGTCTTCGCAGAAAGGCGGGCACAGCTCTTCAGGCCCTGGCAACACCCACATGGTGATAGCAGTTGGGTAGGCCCGGCCTGGCACGATGTCACGAACTAGTTCCAAACACATCCACCAAAACATACAGGGTGCTGGACTCCTCGTGCAAGTACTGCAAGGTTGGGATGGAGGTCCAATGTCTCTTCAAACACTCCAAAACCCACCTCGATGCAAGAATATCAGAGATTGATGTCGTATCCAACACCTTATCGCACTCACCACAAACCCAACCCAGTGTTCCACACCCCACTCTGCTGCAACTCTTGGTCCAGCTCGCAACATGCACAGAGGTTGTCGTTCTGCCCGGTTCGACTGCCGTTCCGGATGCATTGTGCTGGAGGCAGAGCATGATTCCATGACTGCTTCAGCAGATCGGCGGCTCCGACCCTGCAGGTGCAGAGCAAAGAGGCACGTCTCCTCCACTCGGCACATGACGCAACAAGCGGCATCATCCACGGCAAGTCGAGCAATAGACTTGCAGAGGGGCGGAGATTTCCGCGGAAGGTCAGTTCAGAGTCCAAGGTTCAGACACAAGCGCAGCTCTCGAGCTGGTGCATGCGAAATAGCCGCCAACACTCTCGTTCTCCGAATTCTCCGTGTATTGGGGGGGCAGGAGGTTGCACACTTGCACGGAAATGGTACTTTGTTTACTGCATCTCTCCCTCCACACACAACCAAAGGCAAGTACAGGTAATTGGTATGTCTCTTCGGTTGCGAGGATCTTCGGGTGTTTTGCGGTCTTCACTTCCCGGGAGCGTAGGGTGCCTTTCACGTGCCAGCCGGCAGCAGGCCCAGAATCGATGTATCTGACCTGGACCAGGGTCACTGAGAAAAACACTTCCATGCTGCGCATGTTGGTGGCGACTATGTCTTTCGTGTGATGTTGTAGTCGAGCATACGGCTTTTGCGCCCATGGCGATCAAGCCTGCGACGGCTCTCATTTGTTGACGTCTTCAGAGCCAGAAAGGATTTTTGGGCCTGTATTCCTTTGCCGATATCTTGCATGGCATGCAGCGAGAACTCGATTCAACAATGCGGGGAGGTAGCAACACTTGGCGGACTGCGGTTTTTTTTGCCGGGGCCCCAACCTTTTCTGGGGTTTTGCCGGTCTTGCCTTAGCCGCGAAGAGAGGGTTGGGGTGTTGGGTGGGACTCGCACGAAGCCGAGTTCTGGCTCCTTCGCTGTAGAGGCCTCTACCGGGCCCTGCTTCGGGCAGCTTTTTGCTTCGAGGGGCTCAGCTCGGGCCGCACCCAATTTCTCATGATAACTAGTAAGGCATTAAGATGCTTTCTCAAGGGCCTCCTTCCTGCACTATGAAGGCCCCACCTGTTCCCATCACTTGAGAAAATGCTCCAGTTTGGGCGCTTCAGCTTCGCGGACTAACGATTTCCGGAGGATCCACTGCCTTCAACGTCTTAGGGCGGGCTTAAGACAGCAGGGTCTTGGGGCTTGCCGAAGCTGACGACCTTCGTGCCCAAAGAATTAGCACTCTCTCGGCATCTGGCTCGGGAGGGCGCTGACCTTCTCAACAGCAACTGGAATCATCGACACGCCCTCAACACTCTGTGGTCATACTTTTATCCAGAACCTGCTGCATGATTTATACCTTTAAGGTTGCATGTCACCTGTCTGCATCAATGTGCGGAGACTTAGACATTGCCCTGCAGCATGAGGCAAACTTTGTTGAAGGGGACGATGTTAGGGTGAAGTGAGATCTCTCCGTCCAGCTCATCACTGAAAAGTGAGACCAAGGCTGCATGATAGGATAGCTCTGGCTGCGTGCTTCCCATCTTGATGTCTTCAATGCTTGACCAAGCCAGCACCCTGCCTTCTCCGGTGCTTTCTGTGCCGCAATTCTCTTCGCTTCGGCTGCCTTTTCCGCTGCCTTCTGTGCCGCAATCCTCTTCGCTTCGGCTGCCTTGACTGCTGCGGCCTGCTTTGCAGCTGCCTGCGAAACGAAAAAGGAAGAGGAGAGGCGGGCAAAGCTTCGCAGGGGCCGCAAAGGTGCAGCTTCATGAACTACCTTCTCGAGGAACTGTTAGCGAAGTCTCATCAGCGCCTGAGCCTGTTCAGTCTCTCAAGAATTTTGGAGAATCGGGAGCTGTAAAAACTTTGGATCTTGCACCGGGGCGGCTTTGAGACCTGGAGGCTGTTAACGACACTTCGGATCACGCATGCTCGACCTGTCTGCCGTACTTCCTTTCTTGCCCTTCCCTGCCCCCAGGCCTTTTCCTTTCGAGAAATAGCCTTGCCACGAACGGTCAGCTACGGCCCTGCTTGGCTTTCCAGTTAGCGGATGAGTTTGGGGTTCAGAGGTCTGGCTTAGAGCACTCCCAAACAGGACCAGAGCCCCCCCAAACGACTGCCTGATAAGCTTCACGAGAGCTGAACATCAAGGCGCTTCAACTCGCTTTCAGCCATATCTATAGCCATATCTATGCTTGCTTGGGGGGCCTGCTTTACACGCCCGCTTTATGCTGTCTATCTGCTCTGATGCCAACCAAACCTGCCAACCTTTGGGCACAGTACCGGGTGTGCCAAGCAATATCAACCAAGGCTGCCGCTGCTGCCGCAGAGGCCTTTGCTGCCTCAAGAAAGGGGATCGTGCACGGTGCAGGGAGAAGCTTTCCGATTCCTCTTGCTTTCGCTCCCCTGTGCAACTGCGCACTAGCGGCGGAGGAAGGCATACGCACTCGGCAGGGCCATGCACTGCAACTACCAGTACGTGGCGTGATGCTTTCTTTACTGTCTTTAAGGTTGGTTGGGGATGTGCTAAGAGATCTCTAACTCAATGACACCTCTTGTGCTTCCATTCCAGCACATGATGGTCGCCTGGGACAAACCCTGGCTCTCATCGGCAAAGCAAGCCCAATCCAAGCCTCCAAGGCATTTATCTGGCGCCTTGCTGCCTGTGGGCGACAGATGCCAGGTTGGGGCCAGCTTTTGCCACCCCTGCCCCTGTCCTTGTTAAGGTACCGACACTGTGACGTGCAAGTGAGACCCAAGGATGCTTGGAAGATGTTCGAGGGACATTTTTGACAGCCGTACTTCGCCAGCCCTTCCTTCATGTGCGTCTTCTTTTTTGGAGTTTCGGATTCCAGCAGCCCACAGGGATGAGGCAGGATGCTCTCCCAGAGAACCTCTAATGACCTGATGCATTGCCGCCAACTACGAAGCCTCCACAGACCCCACCAAATTTCGACAGAGGTTGAATTCAGAGTTTGAAAACCTGAAAAAAAGAGGTTAACTGCTGGGCCGGGTGCGCTCTCGTAGTCCTTGTCTGCGACCACCAGCTTTGCAGAAATCCTGATTCAAGCTGACGAAGCTCATGCTCGTTGTCGTTACGAGGAGGAAGACCCCTGCTGTGACCACCACGAGCACGACCAGTGCTGCATGCCTACCTGCTACTGCTGCCGGTAGAGTGGCTGCTGGACAATCTCATGCTCGGTACGTGATGCCTGTGCTCATGCAGGCATTCTTGCATCGATGCTGCCACTACTAGCAGAACGACGTGGTCTGTGAATCCTCGACGTCGGTCGAGCTCCGATGCAGTCTGATCAAGTGGGGGCAGGGGTCCCCGACCACAGGTTTCACAGATTTGCAATTCCTTTCTTCCTTTCCCGTGTCTCAGCTGATGCTTGCGAAGCCAGCGGAGGTGAGTCACCACGAAAGGGGTCGCAGCTCGGGCCATGATGCTCGTTGTCGGCTGAGCCGGAGGCACTGTTGCATGCGCAAGAGAAAGCACATGCTTTCTGCTTGCGTTTGCAACACATCCCAGGAATGTCGGATCAGACACCCTTTCATGGAAGCAGGACCAAGCCACGGCAAAGGACACTCTTTCAAGGGCTGATGATACGACATGGATTGTCTGGAGAACTACTTCTGTGTGCCCTCAACCAGCCAAACTTTGTTTCGGGGCCCAAGCAGGGAATCATGGGGCACGGATCACGCGCATCTCTCTGAGCCCTTGGGCCCCTCAGGAAGCCCCGAACCCCGTCACTGCCTGCGTGTGAGCTCGTGGACCTTCGCCTTGAAAGCAGCCTGGCGACGGGAGCTTCCGAACGGCTCACAGATCGCTGTGGGCCCTTGCCTCGCTGCATATCCGAAAGCCAGCAACGTTTTCCGTCACAACTGTAGTGAACTCGGAGCATGTCGTCTAAATCCCAGAAATGCAGAAACCGAGCAAGCCACCATCGGCCAAACTCAAAAGTCTTTTTGCCAGTGCCAGTGCTGATTGCAAAGCAGAACGCGTGAGGGTGCTCAGTTGCTGCTCGTCGTTCGGCGGAACCTGGGCTTGGGCTGCTTGGGAGCCGAAACTGAGTGCTGCGACCCTCTGCGACAGCTGCCGCGTCCAGCTGCAGTCGAGGGGCTATCAGGAAAGGCGTGTCCGAGCGGCCGGCGGCGACCACGGCGTCGAATCGCTGAAGCAGGGCCTGTTCCTCGCCGGCCCGAGCAGCCGAGCAGTACACCCCGACTTTAGAGTCACTTAGAGCCCATCAGAGCATGGCCTTGGCTCGGCTGCCCGAGACCGAAGAGGCACGGCGGAGAGGCGACCAGTGGCCCGCACGCTGGCCTTGTGGGGACTGGACTTGGCGATCTGCGAATTAGGCGTTTGGCATTCAGCACCCTGCGCCCCACTACTAGTTCCTGAAGCCTACACCCCGAGCAACTCACCATCTTTATCATCATCGTCAAGATCATCATCCTACTACTACTACTACTACTGCTACTGGTTCTGCTGGTGCTACTGTATCGTAGTAGTAGTAGTAGTAGTAGTAGTAGTAGTAGTAGTAGTAGTAGTAGTAGTAGTAGTAGTAGTAGTAATACTAGTAGTAGTAGTAGTAGCAGCAGCCGCCGCACTCGTACTCCTACTGGTAGTACCCATGTGTATGAGAAGCAAGGAAAGGATGCCGTAATAGTACGTCACTGCTGCTCTGAGTATGCCAGGAGCTTCACTTGAAGCCCTGCAGCATATACAGAAGCAAATTCCTCAAGCATTTGGCTGTATACCTTCTCGAATTACTTCTGGACGGAGAAGCACAAAGGTTCCTAGGGTCGCTCTCAAAGCAATCATGTGTATGTGGCTTCGTTCTACTGCCGCAACCGTTTCCATCGCTACGGCCACAACACGTTCCAACACCTTTGCTCCCGCTACTCCTACAACTACGCTTCTCTGCACATCTGCGATGCAATGGCTGCTACTACTACTGCTGCTGCTACTGCTACTGCTACTGCTACTAGTAATTACTAGTACTAGGCTACGGGACGGGCGTTTGCCCGCGTGTATTTGGGGAAATGTGTGTTTTGCTCGAAAAAACACAGGTTTTCCGAGGTTTGGACTAGGGTTTTGTTGGATATGAAACTTGGAAGTTCCGTGTAGAAGGTTTGGGGAGTACACGCCAGGTTGGGGAGCATGGAGCAAGCATACCACAGGAGAGGAAGGCCTAGCTTTCTCGAGAAAAACCGAGGTTTTTGTAGGTTTGGACTTGAGGAGTGGTTGTTCTTTTGCAGGAAGATGTCTCTATTCGGAGATGCTGAAAAGCGCGGCCCAAATCTCATTTTTACGGGGTTGGCAGGGAGATTTTTTTAACACGGACGTAATCATCTTTCGGCCATGGATGCTCTGGCCAATCGCACGCACTGGTAACATGGACGCAATCATCGTTCGGCCATGGATGCTCTGGCCAATGCACGCACGGGCAAGGCGGTACTTATCTTTTCAACATTCTAAACACGCACAACACAGTAAATACCGATGTTTTCAGCAACACTGCTCGCATGCACTGGCAACACGGACGTAATCGTTCGGCCATGGATGCTCTGGCCAATCGCATGGCCAATCGCACGCACTGGTAACACGGACGTAATCATCGTTCGGCCATGGATGCTCTGGCCAATCGCACGCACTGGTAACACGGACGTAATCATCGTTCGGCCATGGATGCTCTGGCCAATCGCACGCACTGGTAATACGGACGTAATCATCGTTCGGCCATGGATGCTGTGGCCAATCGCACGCACTGGTAACACGGACGTAATCATCGTTCGGCCATGGATGCTGTGGCCAATGCACGCACGGGCAAGGCGGTACTTATCTTTTCAACATTCTAAATACGCACAACACAGTAAATACTGATGTTTTCAGCAACATTTCGCGTGCAAAACCACAGATCCAAACAACACGCGATTGCTTCTTTCAGGATTCGATCCCCAAAACTGCCAGCATGCACCGGAGTAGGTGCGGGCAAACGCCCAGCCCTGACCCTAGTACTAGTACTAGTACTAGTACTAGTACTCGTACTAGTGCGAGTACTAGTACTAGGCTAGTACTAGTACTAGTACGTGCATACTAGTACTACAAGTAGTACTACTGCCACCAGTAGTAGTACTAGTAGTAGTAGTAGTAGTAGTAGTAGTAGTAGTAGTAGTAGTAGTAGTAGTAGGGTCCATCACCCTCGTTTGCCGCACTTCAGCGGTGACTTTCGGGGTGGGGTGGGGGGGGGGCTTCATGACGTCCACTTGGTCACCATCATCGTCATCCTCTTCATAACACGGCATGCTCAATTTTTACTTTCGGGGTGGGGTGGGGGGGTTAATGACGTCCACTTGGACACCATCACACCGTCATCCTCTTCATCAACACGGCATGCTCATCGTTTACGTTCCGATACTCACATCATCCACACATGAGGTTAGAGCTTGACGGTCTCTTTTGACAGCCTGGCTCGGCTTCTGGGGTTGAGAGAGCTCGAGTGCAGCCATGCCTTTCGGTTCTGGGGTATGCACTCCCACATTTTTGGAAGCGTTGAGCAACCTTTGAGAAGTCTGTGAGACACCTTTGAGAAGGCTCTGAGAAGTCTTTGAGAAGCCGCTCAGAAACCTTTGAAAAACCCGGACCAGTGCAAGGGCTTAGGTGCTGCTTGGTCCAAGCTAGGATCGGAGAACACCTCGGCGTGCAGATTGCAGAAGTCCAGTCTGCCGCCGAAGGCCTTAAAGCACTTGAAGCGTTTGGCCCGATCAAAGATTGGCAAGCGCACCGTAGCAGTCGTTGGGGGTGATAACCGGTGCGAGACACAAGCCTTGTCAAACAGAGCCTTCGAAGGGGAAACACACTCGGAAGGTGCAGTCGTCAGGAGACCGGTGCGCACATCTATGTTTGTGCAGAATGCACCGAGTTTCGAAGCAGTCTTGCGAACCTTCTGCGTCTACGCAGATGATGTGGAAGACACGCTTGCGCCGAACATGGCGTTCCAAGACACGTCGTGGCTGCTGCCGCCGTAAAAAGACGCATTTGCCAGAGAACGGAACAGTAAAAACTCGATTTTTTTGCGAATTTCAGAACAAACAACATAAAAAAAGGACGCCCAAATCGTCCTGTCTTCGAATGCAAATGAAGCGTTCAAACTTGCATGCACTTTCGTGCACAGCTCCAGAATGTGCTTAAAACCCAAGCGAAAACACAGTTTTCGCATAATCGCACTCTGCATATTTGCAATGAAACACGCCAATGCAAACCCGTTTGCCGCGCCATGTGCGCGGCAAACGAAGTGAATGGAGCCTAGTAGTAGGAGTCGTCGTCCTGGTAGTAGCAGTAGTAGTAGTAGTAGTAGTAGTAGTAGTAGTAGTAGTAGTAGTAGTAGTAGTAGTAGTAGTAGTAGTAGTGGTAGTGGTAGTGGTAGTGGTAGTGGTAGGGGTAGTGGTAGTGCTAGTGCTAGTGGTAGTGGTAGTGGTAGTAGTAGTAGTAGTAGTAGTAGTCGTAGTAGTAGTAGTAGTAGTAGTAGTAGTCTTGCTGCTGCTGCTGCTGCTGCTGCTGTTACTACTACTACTCCTACTCCGCCTACTAAGCCCCTTGGCTCCGCCAGGATGAGAAAGAGAGATGTTGTCGAAACAGCGGGACCCTGCCACCCCCAACAGTAACGGGTGCACTAGAAGGTACGAGTGCCTCAACCTCAACACGGCTGTAGGCTGCATGATGGCTGCGCTTCTTGCCTGTCTGTTCCCACTTGCCCCACCATGGCAACAGGGCTCAAACTTTGTGCTACAGAGTCTCAACTGGACAGCCTCCAGTCCGTGTGATTGGTCCGGCTCTCAGCATCTGCAGCTTCCCTTACTCTTGTGGCCGGTTGCTAGGTGCACTTCAGAGCAGCTGTTTCCGAGCGCCGCCTTCTGTGCTCAAGCCTCGCTGTCGCATAGCCCGCTCAGCCCAGGATGTCCCCCAAGGAAGCACGGAGAGGCAACCCATCGAGGTCGAGATCTGGAAGGCCTAAGGCCAAAGCAACGGTGGCTCCGGAGACCTCTTCATCTGATAGCCCACCGAGCCCACCGAGCTCAGGCGAGGAGGCCACCGCTCCGCCAGCTGCTACCACAAGTGCTCCAGCAGGACCTCCTCCTCCAGTGCCGGTCAATAGGCCACGAGGAAGCGTTGGATGTGCCAAAAGTAAGCCCGCGGGGCCGCCCCCACCGACTCCAGCATCCTGCACGTCTCTTCCGACAACACCGGTGCAGGCCTTCGCTGCCATGGCTCCAGGAGGCTTACCAGCGGGTGCTCCACCAAGCACAGGGCCTATCACTGTCGCAATGGGAGCTGCTCCTACGCTTCCATCGCCTACTCCGACCTTGCTGCCTCCCCCGACTGCACCCCCAGCACCGAGTGTCAATGCAGCAGAGGGAGTTTCGGGCACACCAGCTGGACCTGCGCAACAGCAGCCAGCCACTATCACTACCAAAGTGGCGGGCTGGACTTTCACGCTTACGGTTAGGCCACCGAGCTAAGCCACGAGACAACAGGTTCTATGGTGGCCAGGCACGAGCTTTCTGCAGAGTTTGCACTACAGGTGCACCTGACAGCTGTCAGCTCTCTGCCGTCTCTTCCTGTATGCAGACTTGTTGTTTTGTGCCCAGCAGCCTCTCGAATGGGACTCACAAAAGACGTGCTGTTTCTGTCGGCGCACTTGTACGGACACCACTTCGGAGCCAGCTGTCACTGCTAACTTGGCCTATCCTTTATGCTGACTGCACTGCCCAGGCCGATCTCATGGCAGACTCCAATGACATTGCGAAGGCTCCAGGTCAGCGGTGCCCTCCATTTGCACTTGGCATATCTTTGTCGAACGCTGCTTGCCACAGGTCTCAGGACCCTCGAGACGTCCACTTTGGTGTTCTCCCTGCCCACCACGGGGCTTGGATCTCAGTTCTGCAGCTGCCATCCGTGACCAGTCAACATGAGACTCTACCGTGCTCTTGCATGCATTCTGCAGCCCCACCATGTGGTTGTCGCGTGTGTCTGCAGCTTTCCACAAACCAAGACACATTGGTGACTTTGGTAGAGCATGGGGTCCTACAGTTGACTGCCACTACCTCTGACCACCTTGCTTCCCTTAGGGCTGGGAGACCTCTCGCCGAATACTTGCAGGTATCACCCCCTCAACTTCTTAAGTCAAGGGACTATCCTGTCATAACGAGCCCCACCTGTGCCCCTCGAGGGATCATGGAGCCTGCCTCCGGGCCTGACCGGCCGCAGTGGCAGGCGGCACTCGTCCCGCTTACAGTGGGGACCGAAGTAGAGGTGATCGA